ATTTAGGCCAGCGAATTATACACTTGTATATGTATAGCGAATTATGCAGTTTTTATGTTTGCTATGGAGCGCAATTATGCAAAGTTTGCTATATTATACAAATATGAATTTTTTGTTTGCTATATGTGAAAGTTGCCCTTATAAAAACAATTGAAAAAATATTTCAAATAGTTCATGTGTTTTATCAAAAGGAAAAAAGGGTCTGATATACTCCTTAATTTTGTCATGTAGAGCTGATATATCCCTCGTTATTAAAGTGACTCATATATATCCTTATTATTAGATAAATGACTCACATATACCTTTTTCCTCTAAAGAAAGTGAAAAAGATAATTTTTTTTGAGAAAATAATAATCCATATGGGGTATATCTGATCTTCCCCAGACGTATTTATTTTTTTCACTTTTTTATTTCAACGACTAATTTAAATGTATTAGTTTGATGGCTAAATTTATTTATGTTTCACTAATTTTCTTGTGAAATTTATTATAGATACCACCTTTCTTTTTTACAAATACAAAACTAAATTACAATTAGCCGTAAAAAAATTAGTTTTGAATTTTTCTATACACTAAAGAACCAAAAAAATAATAATAAGAAACTTGAATCATGATAATCAAAGAAGTCAAAAAAAAATTTATATGTAAAAGATTAAAATATACCTTGAATTTTGCTAGAAAGAGCATATATATATATACCACTATATGATTTTTTAAAATTTAAAGTAAAAAAATTATTAAACTATTTTTTTCACTTCCATTAGACGAAGGGTTGAAGTCATTTTGTAATTGTAAGGGTGTATGGTGAGCTGTTTGTATAACAGGAAGTGTATATATGAATCACTTTCATAGCGAGGGGTATATATGCTCTAAATGTGAAACTTAAGGAAGTATATCAAACCCTTTTCCCTTATCAAATTTATATATTTTTAAAAGGGAAAAAAAGACAACTATACCTCATAACTATCGTTAATGGTATGCAAATACCCTCTTTCATACTTTTGGGACATTGGTGCCCATGACGTTTAAAAACTAGAGTATATATCCTCTTTATACAAACATACATATATGTGTCATAATCTCATCCACCGATCTGACATTTATTAAATATCAGATCCATATAAGATTGCGTCGCATGTCCTTACTTAGTCTTCCATTAGAGTAAAAAATATATATGCTCTAATTTTTGGATGACAGGGACACCAATGTCCCAAAAGTATGACGTAGAGAATCTACATACTATTTACGATAATTTAAAAATATATATTTTTTTCTCTTTTTAAAATTAAAATAACTTACGCATAAATTAATTTATAATGAAGTTGAAAAGTAAAAGTTTATAGTAATTAGCATTTTAGAATGCTTAACAACTTTAAGAGTACTATAGATATTTTAATAAAAAATGTTTAACAAATACTTATGGACTAAACACGTAGTGGACTGTTTTTTCAGTTCAAACACTTGTATTGAAACATATAACTACGTTTTTCAACACTTCGTATTGAAACATATAACTACGCTTTTCAACACTTCAAAAAGTGTTTTTGAAGCACTTCAAGAAAATCACTTTTTCCAATCAATCCAAATATGCTCTTAATGTATCCTTAACCTATAACTTTTGACTTACTTTTGCTTATTTTCACACAAAACAAATACTCAAAATTACTTTTATATTACAGAGACATTACAAAAATGCTTTAAAACTGTTAAAAAATAAAAGAGGAAAAAACAGTGGTTGGGGAGAAGAGCATTAGGGCAACGAAAGAAATTGTTTGATAATGAAATATAGAGTTGCAATTTCCTTGTTCCTTGGTGGTCATCTCCCTCCCAATTTGCCATCTTTTCTTCTTCGATCCAGCAGTGGTGTTTCCGTTCCCCATGCTAGTCTCCTACCTGGTGCTCTCTCAAGGTCTACTTGTGGAATCAGGTTCTCTACTTTTACTTCCTTCACCAATTCACATGATTATAAAGAAGTATATTCTGATTTTTCCAAAGAAGATGTTGAAACAATTGAAGCCATTTTTAAACAACCCGGAACCCATGTGCATAATAAACTCGAGCAATGTGGTGTAAGGCCCACACACAATCTAGTTACTCTTATTCTTTCTCGTGCACGGAATAATTGGGAAGTTGCATTCACTTTCTTCATATGGGCCACCAAACAAACAGGTTATGTTCATTCTGTGCGTCAATACCATTCTATGATATCTATACTTGGAAAAATGAGAAAGTTTGACACTGCATGGTCACTCATTGAGGAAATGAGAGGTGGTAAAGATAGACCATCGCTTGTCAATCCTCAGACGCTCTTGATTATGATTAGGAAATACTGTGCTGTGCATGAAGTTGGAAAAGCTATCAGTACTTTTTATGCATTTAAGCGGTTTAATTTAGATATTGAAATAGAAGAATTTCAAGACCTTTTGTCTGCCCTTGTTCGCTACAAAAATGTAAAAGATGCCGAGCACTTGCTTTTTTGCAATACGAATGTTTTCCCGTTGAATACCAAGAGTTTGAATATCATTCTGAATGGATGGTGTCTTGCCCGTGATGATTTAAGTGAGGGAAAGAGGATTTGGAGGTTGATGAAGGAAAAAAGGATTCCTCGTGATGTTTTTTCATATTGTAGTATCATGTCTTGCTATTCGAGGGCTGGTAGACTCAATGTTGTGCTTAAGCTTTTCGATGAGATGAAATTGTGTGGGGTTGCACCTGATGTTAAGGTTTATAATGCTGTCATTCATGCTCTTGCAAAAGGCAGGTTGGTTAAACAAGCTAGGAGTGTGATGAAGATGATGGAAGAGAATGATCTTGCTCCAAACGCTGTTACTTATAACTCATTAATCATGCCTCTCTGCAAAGCTCGATTACCAGATGAAGCTCAAGAGATCTTCAATGAGATGATTCAACGAGGCATACATCCTACTGTCCGAACTTACCATGCATTGCTTCGTAGCCTGAGGACAGGGGAAGAAGTGTTCGAGCACTTGCAGAAGATGAACACGATGGGATGTATTCCAACTCATGACACTTATATAATGTTAATCCGGAAGTTTTGCCGATGGTGCCAACTTGATAATGTTTTCATGTTGTGGGATAAGATGAGCAAGATTGGCTTGGACCATGATCGAAGTTCATATATAGTGCTGATACATGGACTCTTTTTGAATGGGAAGCTGGAGGAGTCGTACAAATACTATCACGAAATGAAGCAAAAAGGTTTACTGCCGGAGCCCAAGATAGATGAAATGCTTCAAGCTTGGGTAGCTGGCAGGAGAGATTCTCAAGAGAATAAAGTAACATGTCATCAGGAGAACAAAAAGGTGGTCAAATTTGAAAAAGCTGATAAAGAAAGGGATTTCCATAAAAAACCTGAAATGAGAAAAGTTATGAGAGAGCGTGGCTTTTCTTTCTGGGGTCAGTAGAGTCAATGTTGATTATAAAATTACTGTTGGGAATCTGGCTCGGGTCACTGTACATACAGGTGCATCAGGTTTCTCTTCTTTTAGATTGTATTAACAAAATATTCTTGGCTTATTTGGTCTACATACTGGAATTTACTGCTAACACAATTTACTTCCATTTTTTTTTAAGATTTTGATAGCAAGAAAGACTATTTGAATATTCACAGATACTTTCTTCCTCTTTTTTTTTTAATTAATTTTAAGAATAAAGTGATCAATATTCTTTATACTTGTCCCTGAAGTATAAAATTGTCACGATCAAAGTCTACACCCTAGTTTTGACTGGCACGAATGATGCTAAGCGGACCTGTGGTACTGACATTTTGCTAATAACTTAACTGAGATTTTATGAAGTGTAAGTGGAAGCTAAAACATAGTTAACTGAAGCAAATACTTAACATATATCTGAATGAAATGCATGGAACTGAACAAGTAATGCCTGAAGTGCAACCTCTACTAATTGGAATGAAAGAAGAAATAAGTTTGTCGTGCCATGATCCCTAGCTACCTCAAAGAAAATAACTGTCCTTACGTAAAACTTAGTTACTGACTACTCCATGAAGTCACAAAATGAAGTGGACTCATCAACTTCTGACAGGAAAAACTGCAACCTGTCTAGCCACTAGTGTGAGAGCAAACATTTAAATCTATATCATAATAGGATGTTGTGCAGAAAAAGGTATGCAGTCAGTACGTGGAAAGTGCTGAGTATATATGATGAGACTAAACATAATCATTTCGGGTGGCAACATGTAGTAAGAACTAATGAGCATTCAATAATCATAAATATAGTGATATAATGAAGGACATACTAAAACCAGTGTATAAATTTCATTGAGAACTTGCTTCAATTATATAATTGTTATTTCTGTAGCCCTGGGTTGAAATTAGATCAAAACTATCATATTTGAGAAGAACCCTGATGATAAAGTTTATGAACATAATGATACTTTTATTGGGAGTTTCTTACCATCGACATATACCATATCAGTTTATGTTGTCCAACTTATAATCCATTTGGAAGGGCTATCCTATACCTTGTCAGTGTGTAGGACCTATCTATCTGATGTGGATACTAACTGAGCCTCTTGGGCTAATATTCAAAATTCTATAGTGGCACATTGTTATGGGACTTGGGTTTTCTGAACTTGCGTCCTCTTGGTGTTAAATAATCCTCCCAAAATAATATACAAATATCAATATGCTCATAAATATGTCTTTCTTGATGAAGAACCTTGAACTCTAACTTGGTGTTTCTTGAGACTTTTTTAAATTTAAAATAGTAATGATGTGTTCTTCAGCATTTAGGATATGTAGGTGACCTTTAAAAAACAGAGGGAACAAAAACAGAGAAAAAAATACTTGCAAGGATCCTTATAATTCTCAACCTGTTCTGTTTCCTCTAAACCTTTCTCTTCACACCAAAAAATAAAAAGATAACAATACAATTCCCTTTAACCTTCTCAATGGAATGGGACCTATCTTTAAAGCAGTGTTGTGGACGGCAAGAGGCGACAAGGGCCTGCCTCGCCACGCGGCGAGGCGCTTGCCTTTTTGAATAAAGGCGCCAATTAATACAAAAAATTAAAAATATTTAATTGCATATTTTATCCAAAGTCTTAATAGCAATAACACATATTAGCAAATATTCAATTCAAAAACCAATAGAATGTCTAAAACTTTAAAGACCAAACAATTCAAAATACAATAAACCAAAACTTTAAAAGTCTATTCTTCTTCAAAATTATCCAACTCTTGAAGATCAAAATTCTCTACATCATTATATTGCTCTTCACCAAAATATTGATGATCATTTTGCCATTTCGTGCCTTCCATTTGTCCATCATAATGGAACAACCAAACTTTGTTCATTGCACTTTATGCTCCTCCACAATTTTTTCTACTTTATCCACCTCTTTTTTAAGGTGAGTGACTCTAACTTCATGGAATGTAGGAGGCTTCATTCCAGGGCCATGTTGTCCAACCGCCTCAATAAATTTATCGAATGATTTGTGATTGACGCAATTAAAAGGGAGCCCAGCATCATACATCCAAATTGCAAAAGCACTTACCGCACGCTCTCTTAGAATTTTCTTTGTTTCTTCGATTCCTCCTCCTTTTTCTAAGCCTCCTTTTTGTGTTGATTTTTGTGAAAAATAGAGGTTCAAAGGTCCTTTCGTCACACTCCGTGCGGTGGATGAACCTCCACTAGAAGATATCTTTTGAGTTTTGGAGGGAGGCCTCATTTCCGCATAATCATCCATTTCATCAAGATCATCAATATCAACAAATTCTTCCGGTTGCCTCATTTGAAATTTGGGATTATTAGCTATTTTGTTTTGCATATAAGTCCTTATTTCTTCTCTAATTTCCGACGGACAAGCGACACATACTTTAACATTTTTGAAACCACCCACTAAATGTTGTTTGTGTCGAGTTATTCCACCATTGAAAGTACTCCCACAAAAGTTACAAGTGACCGAATCTTTCGTCGCTCCTTGAGTGCCATAATTTCATCCAATGTCCCTCTTTTTGCTAGCATCCGCCATTGATTATCAAATTCAATTAATTCGCTGTTTAGAAATATTGGAATAAATAATTAGGAAAAGATTTTTTTTAAAAAAATTAACACTTGTTACACTTACACAAAGCAGTAAGCAGTTAGCACTGCCTGAGTCCTGACTGCTGCTTACCAAAATTAAAAAAAAAAAATGAAGAAGAAGAACAGAAAAAATAAGAACAGAAGAAGAAGAACAGAAAAAATAAGAACAGAAGAAGAAGTGAGAAAACATTACCTGAAAACCTGAAAACAGAGAGTGAGAGTCGCGAGGTCGCCGGCGAGGGAGAAGAGACGCGACAGTGAGGGAGAGCGAGGGAGAAGAGACGCGACAGCGAGGGAGCAGAGACGCGACAGCGAGGGACAGCGAGGGAGCAGCGACGCGATGGAGGAGAAGAGAAGAGTCAATCGATCGATCGAGAGTCGCGAGTTTCAGAAATTTTCGAAAGTAAAAAAAAAACCCTAATTTTGACTAATATTATTAAGTCAAAATTTTTTTAATCAAAAAGGCGGCTCCTTTCGCTCGCCATTTCAGCGCCATATATCGCCAGGGGCTCGCCTTTTTCTCCTCGCCTCGCCTCGCTAGAGAATGGCGAGCCACCCTCGCCTCTCGCCTTTGGCGACGAGGTGAGCGCCTTTCATAACACTGCTTTAAAGTGTCTACTGTTCCTTCTTTCCAGAATGTCCACCAAATACAAATATCAATATGCTCATAACAAGAACAGGAGCTTATGATGAAGTTTCATTAATTTAGTAGAAAACCCCAACTTGGATTCTAGAAATTCTGTAAAAATCTTTGAAAGAACAGACGACTTAGGCATGAGAGTGAAATGATACTCCTGTTGAAGCCTAACATACTTTAGTGACAAAACTTGACGAAGAACCTTGAAAGAAGAACCCTAACTTGGTGTTTCTTGAGATTTTTTTTAAAATTTAAAATAGTAATGTTGTATTCTTCAGCATTAAGGATATGTAGGTGACCTTTAAAAAACAGAGGAAAAAAAATACTTGCAAGGATCCTAATAATTATACAACCTGTTCTGTTTCCTCTAAACCTTTCTCTTTACACCAAAAAATAAAAAGATAACAATACAATTCCCTTTAACCTTCTCAATGGAATTGGACCTATCTTTAAAGTTTCTACTGTTCCTTATTCCAGAATGTCCACCAAATACAAATATCGATATGCTCATAAATAGGTAAACTATCTATATAAAGTGAGTAATACAATCAAGAACAGGAGCTTATGATGAAGTTCATTAATTTAGTAGAAACCCTAACTTGGATTCTAGAAATTCTGTAAAAATCTTTGAAAGAACATGACATAGGCATGGGTGTGAAATGATATCCTGTTGAAGCCTTACATACTTTAGTGATGAAACTTGATGAAGAACCTTGAAAGAAGAACCCTAACTTGGTGTTTCTTGAGATTTTTTAAAATTTAAAATAGTAATGGTGTATTCTTCAGCATTAAAGATATGTAGTTGACCTTTCAAAAACAGAGGGAACAAAAACAGAGGAAAAAAAAATACTTGCAAGGATCCCAATAATTCTACATGTTCTGTTTCCTCTAAACCTTTCTCTTTACACCAAAAAATAAAAAGATAACAACACAATTCCCTTTAACCTTCTCAATGGAATTGGACCTATCTTTAAAGTTTCAACTGTTCCTTTCTTTCCAGAATGTCCGCCAAATGCAATATGGAATTATCCTCAACAGGCCTTCTGGATCTTGCTCCCCCCCCTCATCCAACTACTCAATAAGTCTGCAGTGTGGTTAGGCATGGTCCAATTTGTCTCTGTGAGACCAAGGAAGATGACCCAAGTTTGTGTCGTAAAGTTGTAAACATGCAATGCAAGAGTAGATGCTTGTTGGTCGCCTCTGCCTTCCCGCATAATAAACACCAAGGTACTATAGTTTTTTCCTTTTTTCTTCAATGCTTCATGTGTTTCATGTGTCAGGCAAGCCCTTCTTGAAACCAACCATGTAAAGCATTTTTATCTTAGTTGGTGCTAAGGTTCTCCATACCTTTCTCCACAAACTCTGCTTATAGATGCTTTGCTGGGGGATTTCCGTGTTGTATGCACTGCTAACAGTGAAAGCCCCATCTTTACTATGTTTCCATCTCAAAGAATTAGGAGAATATAAGCCACTACACTTGGATTCTCTTGGGTTTCTGTGATTCTTTCAAACTCGTTACTTCTGCATTTATTTTCTAAAAGATGTGTATTTTTACCCTTTTTGCTGTTGTTTTTGATCTCTTCTATGAACTTTGATCTTGAGCTTTTATCATAACACTTGAATTCGGTAATACAAGTTTGTAGTTGTGAAGTACCAGTACACCTCTTCTTTTTTTAGAAAAATAAAAAAATTGGTGTGGATTTAGAGAGTGTGTGTGTATAGAAGGTTTTACTTTTATATGTTTGAGGCAAAGGCAAGGGGTGCGTTATCCACTGCACGAAATATCGATTCACCCATTGTTTGATCTTTTGTTTTTCCTCCTTTATGTTAAAGGGTTTGACAGAATCCAGTCACATATTCATGTTGCTTATGGATGTGACTACTGGTTTTGAGAAGCCCTTTATAGTTGTTTGTAAGGCACACTCAATCTAATTTAACAGAATCATAGGTTAGTTGACAAAGTAGTGCGGAAGGATTACTAGACTGATTCCAAATTACATGTCAGTCAACTATGAATTACAATCCAATGAATTAAAGAAAAAAATTTGGAAATATCTCAATCAGTCTCTGTTAGGATTCTTAGAGAAGCATTGAGTCACAGGAAAATCTAAATCAATTGACATTGACTTTCCCTTGCCTTTGTTTGAATTCCTAGATTGACCTATTTTGGTATATATCTCCAGCTCATCGATCTATTTTTGTATATATCTCCAGCTCATTGAAGGGAGACTAAAACCTTAGAGTTCATTGGAAGAGAGAACTCTGATCTCTTGCTTTTTTGCTTAATTATGACTTATCAATTAATTCATCAAAAGCCCCTTTAAAGTAGGAGTCTTATTACATAATAAGAAGTCTAATTCTTATGCAAGTAGGAGACCTAAACCCTATTCCAAACTATAACTATAACATAACCTAATCCGAATTAATGACTTCCAACACATCAGTCTCCTTCCATTCAATTGTGATTCCTGGATTGCAAAGCTAAAAAAGGATTAGCGTTGGAAGAGAAGGAAAAGAATGAGAAAGAGGAGAGAATTTTGAGAAAGAAGGGATACAAGAACTGTCAAAAACATGAGTTGCAACTGAAAGTTTGGCTCCCTTGATGGTGGAATGAAGACAAAATCGTAACTGTGTATGTAATCTAAGAATTTAAATCTCAGCTGCTAAGTGTGCTCTTCATTTTTTTTTTTTTAAAATGCCGGAGTTAAATTGGACTTTTCCCCTTATAAACGAGACAATTCCCTTTCTATTAATTACTAACTGCAGTTAACATTGTTCAATCAATGTTGGTTCTTACTGTTAAAAATGAAATTTGTCCTTTATGTGTTTCCTTTCTTATCTGGTTTCCTACTACTTTATTTAGGGAGTAGACAGTGGTCAATATGCGTGGAATACTAATGTGGATACTTGGTTGAATTGTCAAATTGTGTGCAAGTTAGCCTAGTACCATGTTATTGAAAAAGAAATGAGAAGGGTGTGAATTACCATTGCAATCTCTAGACAATATGTTCGGCTGTGTTGAGTCCACAACCCCTTGCCTTGTTTACAAATTTTCCTATGGCGATGGATGGTTCTAATGAATAAATAATAGTTTTTGCTTGGCTTTTATATTATCCTTTTGACAATTGTCAATGTCAAGTTGTGTGCAAGTTAGCCAAGTGCCATGTTATTGAAAAAGAAATGAGAAGGGTGTGAATAACCATTGCAATCTCTTGACAATGGGTTTGGCCGTGTTGAGTCTGCATCCCCTTGCCTTGTTTACAAATTTTCCTATGTCGATGGATGGTTGAATAAATAATAATTTTTGCTTGGCTTTGGTATTATCCTTTTGACAATAGTCAATGTCAAGTTGTGTGCAAGTTAGCCTTGTACCATGTTATTGAAAAGGAAATGTGAAGGGTGTGAATTATACCATTGCAATATCTTGACAATGGGTTCGGTCGTGTTGAGTCCACAACTCCTTGCCTAGTATACAAATTTTCCTATGGTGATGGATGGTTCTAATGAATTAATTATAGTTTTTGCTTGGCTTTCATATTATCCTTTTGACAATTGTCAATGTCAAGTTGTGTGCAAGTTATCCTAGTACCATGTTACTGAAAAAGAAATGAGAAGGGTGTGAATTACCATTGCAATCTCTTGACAATGGGTTCGGCCGTGTTGAGTCTGCACAGTGTTGTGAATGGCGAACGCCTCATCGCCAAAGGCGAGAGGCGAGGCGAGGCGAGCCCTTCTCGCCATGCCGCACTGAGGCGAGGCGACATACAAAAGGCGACCCATGGCGAGCTAATGCTGACAAAAATGGCGCCGCCTTTTTTATTTATTTTTTAAAAAAAGATTTGACTTAACAATATTAGTCAAAATTAGTTTTTTTTTCTATTTTCAAAATTTACTGCTGCGCGACTCCTTTTTAGTATCTACTATTGTTTTTTGAATTGAATATTTGCTAATATGTGTTATTACTATTAAGATTTTGGATAAAATATGCAATTAAATATTTTTAATTTTTGATATTCATTGGCGCCTTGATTCAAAAAAGCAAGCGCCTCGCCGCGTGGCGAGGCAGGCCCTTGTCGCCTTTTGTTGCCTCTCGCAGTCCTAAACATGAGTCTGCAATTCCTTGCCTTGTTTTCAAATTTTCCTGTGGTGATGGATGGTTCTAATGAATAAATAATAGTTTTTGCTTGGCTTTTATATTATCCTTTTGACAATTGTCAATGTGGAAATACAGACAATGTCACCTATATATTTTGACAAGTATTGTTTCAAGGTTTTTTCCTTTCTAATATTGCCTTTTTTTCAGCAGGTCTCGGGGTTATCATGAATTAAAGTGAAGAGGAGATGTAGCGAACGACTTGTCTATAGAGTTACTAAGAGTACTAACTTTCTTGCATTACATGGTGGGGTTTGTGTTTTTTTCCTGTAACTAGTGCAAGAAAATTTATTTTGGTTGATAAGCCAATCTGGTGAGTAACTGTTTGCTTAGATTGGGCAATGCGTTTAAGCTGGGACTCCAGAATCCATTTTGGGGGCAGAAAGCAGGCTTTGAGATTATGTAGAAATTTCACTTGCCCAACAGAGAATGTGGTTTCGCAATTCGAAATTCTTCTATTATGTAGCGTCTGCAGGATGAACTGACTTGCAATGTGCTTGAAGCTCCTGCAACTTTAGCATCAGCAAAGGCAAATTTGTTTGTAATTGACCAGAGAAAGAACTTTTCAGTAGTTGGGGCCCTTTCTCGTGCATTTGCTATACCATCATTATCAGGGCCTGCATTTTAGGTCTGTTGCTGTCTCATTGATCTGCTGATATCTGAGCCTAATCAAGGTTCATTAGACATTGATTGTCAGAAAGCAGTTACAGCTATTTGCAGTTCAATAATTTTTCTATTGCCTGTTCCTCAAGTATAATGACCTCAAGGCATCACACAGCTGGTTTGTCAGTGCACAATTCTATTACTTATTTCAATTTAGAAGCTTCAATCATTGTTGAAAAGAGAGTTTGAGAAATAACGATCAGCACGATAACTCCTTGCTTTATGGAGATTTTGCTTATAATGTTGCAAAGAAGAGGGAAAATTCAAATCTACATGAAGGATTAGATTCAATGGTTTCCACAATTCATTACCTGCATGTTTCTCTGCTGGCACTGCCCCTCATCTGTCCTTTGTTAAATCTGTCTGTGAGGTACAGCTTGGATTCAGAGATACTTCTGAAGACTGTTTCCTGAGCTTTTATGTTCTTATTAACCAAATCAAGTTACAATGGCTGTCATCTTGTATAAATGACACGTAATTGGTTTAGTGTTATGGAATTACTCTGATTTATAATAGAATAACAAATATCAAGTTTTTGTACAAAGAAATTCGCAGTCTCTAATTTAGAGGAGAAGGGTACTGAAGAGGGGCCCTTTTCAAACCCTGGCCTTGGGAAATTTTGCAGTCATCAAAAAACAAGTTTGCACTAGCTGCTGTTATATAAATCACTATATATAATGGAGATTTCCACTAAGGCCTAATTTGCATGTGTAGAACTGAATTTGATGATTCCAAGGTCTCATTTATCACTTTTCTGATCAGTGGAAAATTATTAGTGTAAGAGCTAGGTATTTTCTAAAAGTGATTGACTGCTCAAACTCATTATCTAGCTCACTTTTGGTATTGTTATCTTTCTGTAACTAGTAGTGTTGTGATTTGTGAGTATTTTCAACTCCCCCTGCAGTCATGGCTATGGAAAAATAGCCTTCACTTTTCTGTGTTTAAGGTCAAGTATTTCAATTATAGTGTCAAGTTTTTTCTGCTGGTCAGATCTCCTCTGAGAAACAAGGTGTCCACCCTCCCTTGCATTTGACTGTCAGGAAAACTAGGTGGATAAGTGATTTTTAATTTATTAGCTCTTCAATGAAGTGACAAACAGGAAAATTATAGACTGCAATTGGTATCTTTCCCGCAGAAAAGGTCTCCCAGAAAGTTGACTTTCAAAACTAAGGAGGAGAAAGAGAACAATTGTAGACTAACTACTCACTCTATTTGTATTTAATTGTGTGATTTTTAATTTATTGGCTCTACGTGCTTTTAATTGACTAGCAGGAAGGTTCTAGACTGCATTCTTTATCTTTCCCACAGAAAAGGTGATAGAAACGAAATGAAAATGAAACTTTACTGGTTAAATAAAGTGCGACAATCTTAAACACTGCATTAACCAATAACAATGCCTGTATAGAGTGGACAAATCTCCAGATATATAGACATGATAATATTTTTCCTTATATTTATAGTATACATAAATAACTCGATAGAAAGAAACATTTACTCCTGTAAATAACTGCTACTTGTTGGTAATAACTTTTTCTCTTTCCGTTCCATTTTATGTGACAACATTTGATCTGACACGGAGTTTAAGAAATAATGAAGACTTTGAAATGTTTATCAAATTGTCCTTATAAAAGTAACTCCCGTTTCTCTCTCCTCATAAATGCATTAGAAAATAAAGTGGGACCAATAAAGATAAAAGAGAAATTATACTTTTAATACTTATCATACAAGGAAATGTGACACTCCTTTTGGGATTGACCAAAAAGGAAATGGTGCCACATATAATGGGACGGAAGGAGTACTTTATAACTATTATAGATAATTACTGCTTATATATTTTATCCTACTTGCTACAAAGAAAGTAAGACAGATAAACTAAGATATATTATCTCTAGATTTTGTTCGCCTATATTATCTTCTAGAATAAGCCCTTAAAATAGCATTTGTATTGGTGCAAAACTGATCTGCAATGAGGTCATAGTTTTTCCAACTAGATTCTTCAAGTGGACAATCAACCCAGTGAATGAGTAGTTCCAAAGAAGAATCAACTTCTTTAACCCATCGATGTGCAAGAATCTGGGCAGGAGATATGGTGAGTTCCCGCTCCAGCTCATAAGCTACAGGTCCAACACATCGTACAATTTTATATGGGAAAAAGGATAAATATATCCCTGAACTATCATAAATGGTATGTAGATACCATCTGTCATATTTTTGAGATATTGTTTCCCCTATCGTCCAAATATTAGAGCGTATATGCCCTTTACCCTAATAGAAAACTAAATAGGGACACAACGCAATCTTATCCATCGATCTAATGTTGGGTCGGTGGATAAGATTATTAAACGTGTATGTTTGTTACTATAAAGGGTATACATGCTTTAGTTTTTGGATGATAGAGACACCAATATCTCAAAAGTATCACGGAGGGTATATGCTTACCATTCTTGATAGTTCAAGGTTATATTTGTCCTTTTCCCCATTTTATATGGTCCAAAAAATCGAGGTGCCAGCGAAAGAACATTGACGGTAAGGCCTAAACACGTAGAAAGACAGAATCTCAAGCTTGAAAGATAACATCTCTACGATGAGAATTAGCTTGCTGTTTCATTCGAGTTTGAGCTGTTAAAAGGTTAACCTTGAGAATTTTCAACATGGCATCAGGATTCAAAAGTTGCTCTTCAAGTTTAGTAATGCGTGTTTCTCCATGACCATAAGGAGAAATGGATGGAAGGTCCCTACTATAAACAACTTTGAATAGGGTAGTTTTTGTGGATGAGTGGAAGCCCGTATTAAAAGAAACTCTGCCCATAATATATATGTCTCTATATATGAGGTTGCTCCCTAACAAAGCATTGTAAATATGACTCCAAGCATCTGTTAACCACCGGTGTTTGTCCATCAAATAGTGGGTGGTAAGAGGTACCCATTCTTAGTCTTGTTTGGCTAAGTCAGAAAAGCTCCTGCCAAAAAGCACCGAGAAAGATAACATTCCGATCAAATAAAATTGACCGAGGAATGCCGCGAAGACGCACAATTTCTCTGCATAAAAACTTAGCAACAATATTGGAAAATGGGATGAAATGAGAATACTTGCTTAGACGATCTACGACAATCAAAATTGTATTAAAACCACTCGATAAGGGAATTCCTACAATGAAGTCAAGTGAGACATCTTCCCAAATTCTTGAACGTATAAGCAAGGGTTGTAGAAGTCCAGACCGTGCTAGAGCTTCGTATTTGGCACAAACCAAACAGTATTGAACAAAGATCTTCACATCATGCTTCATCCTTGGACTAGAAAAGTTGGAGGAAAGGCACTTCAAGATTTTTAAATATCCTCCATCCTCGACAGAAGGTGTATCATTAGACTCTGAGAGATTCTTTTGTCGAATAGAAGATTGATTCGGAGTGACCAACCTTTCCTTGAAATAAAATTTTTGATCCATAAGATGAAAATCTTGTTGTAAGGAAGGATCATGGTGAAAAACTTGAATAATATCACGAGTATATGTATCTTCTTGGAGAGCATTTTGCCAATTGCAAAAATCCATCGGCATAGGAATAGCAAGAGCTAGAAATTTAGCATTTAATGGCCTCCTTAAATAAGAATCAGCTCCCAAATTATCTTTCCCAACTCTGTAAACAATTGTGAAGTCGAAGGCAGGCAATATCATTAATAATCTTTGTTGCTCATTAGTAGTAACACACAGAGAAAGGAGATACTTGAGACCGTAATGATCTATTCGGACATAAAAATGATGGACCAGGAGGTAATGTTTCCATTTCCGCATAGTTAAAACAAAACCAAACAATTCGTGATCATTAGTAGACTATAAAAAGAAAGTTCCTTACTAAAATAACCAATAGGATGGTCATCCTAAGGAAGAACAACCCCTATTCATTCTGAAGAGCATCAACTTCCACCACAAATGGTTGAGTGAGATCTAGAATTTGTAGTATCAGAACAATTATTAGGGCTTTCTTTAGAAGTTGGAAAGCATTCTCTACTGAGTTCGACCATTGAAAATCATTTTTCTTGGTAAGTTCAGTGAGTGGTCGAGCCATCATTCTATAACCCTTCAGGAATCTGCGATAATAACTTGTTAACTTAAGAAATCCACGTAACTTCTTCAAATTAATTGGTACTGGCCACTCCAAGACAGCTTGAACTTTATCTCTATCAACACCAACCCCTTTTTTCTGAAATCACATGACCTAGAAAAGAAATGTGGACTTTCCCAGATGAGCATTTAGAAGTTTTAGCATAGTAACAACTGTCTCTTAGAAGTTTGAAAGCAAGTTCCAAATGGCTGATATGTTGCTCAAAGGTTTGATTGTTTACCAAGATGTCATCAAAGAATACAAGAATTAATTTGCACATATGTGGTCTAAACATATCATTCATTACACATTGGAACGTCGAAGGAGCATTAATGAGACCAAAGTCATAACTCTAAACTCATAATGCTATAATGATTACGAAAAGAAGTTTTAGGAATGTCGGCTGAATCGTCACGTATCTGGTGGTAACCAGAACACAGATCAACTTTGAAAAAAAGGTTGCTCCATACCCTTCGGGGGCCCAGTGATTTGAGCTTGGGACTTCCATGTTGGAGGTCTCAAGTTCGAAACCCCTTGCCAGTGAAAGCAAGGGGTTTGTCTTCTAGGTCGAGATCATCACACCAGGCTTGCATAGTGCGGGTTACCTCTCTAATGTAGTTTTCGAGCTATTACATAGGAGAAATATCAAAAAGCAACTGGTGCATTTGATTCTTGTGGAACTCCTTGAAGTTTATATCGTTTCCCATTTAAATTAAAAATAAAAAACATCTCATTCCAATTAGCTTGAACTGTATTTAAAGAAGCAAGACACTTAATACCAAGCACCAAATCTTCTTCTCCAACAGAGAAAGGATAAAAATATTGATCAATAGTTAATCCTGGGAATTTCACAACAAGATTTTGGCAAACGGTTGAAACGTATTATATCTCCATTGCCAATCTGAACTCCAAAATAGGGAACAACTTGAGCAGACAACTGTAATTCTTCACCAATTTTTTTCGGGATAAAATTGTAGAATGACCCACTATCAACTAGATGCAACACCTTGCGTCCAATTTAAGGTCCCTTGAAGTTTCATTGTTGTGCCTGTTGTGTTAACTAGGAAGGCGTGGGATAAAATTTCAGCAAGATCATTTATACCTGCATGTCTATCAATAATGTCACTTGACATTTGTTCTCTAGGTTTAGCACTTTCAATGTTGTCATTTGCTTCCATAGGAGTGAGAGATGCGGTCTTGCAACCACAACCTGGTGCAAATTTTTCATTACACATGAAACAAAAACCTTTGGCTATGCGATTCTACTTTTCTATCTCCAAGCATGATTCAAAGAAGGAGGGGGAAACATCTATGCATAATTCGGATTGGTTCATGATACGTGTTGGCTGCGTACAAATTGGTAAGGAACATCACGTGTAGAACCAGTTTGGATTGTGTTGGATCGTGACAGATTGACAATTGAGACTTATGCCCACGATTGAAACTA